TTTATTTATTTATTTGAGACAGAGAATGAGAGAGAGAGAGCACATGAGAGGGGGGAGGGTCAGAGGCAGAAGCAGGCTCCCTGCCGAGCAGGGAGCCCGACACGGGACTCGATCCAGGGACTCCAGGATCATGACCTGAGCCGAAGGCAGTCGCTTAACCAACTGAGCCACCCAGGCGCCCAGAACACTTTTTTTTTTTTAGGATTTTATTTGTTTATTAGAGAGTGCACGAGCCAGGGGAGGGGCAGAGGAAGAGGGAGAAGCAGACTCCATCCTGAATGGGGAGCTGGATGCCATGCTTGATCCCAGGACCCCAAGATCATGACCTGAGCCAAAGGAAGATGCTTAACAGAGCTACTCAGGCGCCCGCCCCTTCATGAGCATTTGTAGCATATCAGCCTCTGCTTTAGCTACAGGGGGTGATGCATTGATAGAAAAGATTTACTCCTCTCTTTAAGAAACTTGTGTCTTGAAGAGGGAAGATATTGAAAATGGTATTTGCGGGGCGCCTGGGCGGCTCAGTCATTAAGCGTCTGCCTTCGGTTCAGGTCATGATCCCAGGGTCCTGGGATCAAGCCCCGCATCTGGCTCCCTGCTCTGTCTCCCACTCCCCCTGCTTGTGTTACCTCTCTTGTGGTCTCTCTCTCTCTGTCAAATAAATAAATAAAATCTTTAAAAAAAAAATGAAAATCGTACTCACTTAGACTGTTTTCCCTCATTGATTTTCAAAAAAGTGTTGTTGTTTTTGTTGTTTCAAAGAGTTTCTTTTAAAGTCAGGTTGGTTTCCCTGGAATGTCTTCTTGGTCTGTCTCCATGGCATACCAGTGAGTCATGCTATTTGGTTTCGCTCCGTACCCGCCTAGTTCTTCATTCATGAGTCTCTTGAAAGGGTCTGCTTAGGGGCGCCTGGGTGGCTCAATCGTTAAGCATCTGCCTTTGACTCGGGTCATGATCCCGGAATCCTGGGATCAAGCCCCACATCAGGCTCCCTGCTCAGCAGGAGGCCTGCTTCTCCCTCTCCCACTCCCCCTGCTTGTGTTCCCTCTTTTCACTGTGTCTCTTTCTCTGTCAAATAAATAAATAAAATCTTAAAAAAAAAAGGGGGGGGGTCTGCTTAATAGAAGCTCCCTTACAGGCAAGGACAGAGCCCTGTCCATCTCTGTGGGACTAGTCAAGGGCCTGAGGGGTACCCAGTGACTGCTAGAATGAGTGAAGCAACATAATTCTCTATGAAGAATGAAGGGCTCAGTCACCATGTCCAGGAATCAGGGCAACAGTTGTATGTGGAATCAGACAGGGAACATGAACTCTCACTGGAACCTAACTGTCAGAACCAGTTTTCCTGGTCCTCCTGGCACGGCTGCAGGATTAGGAATCTGTAATTGCATGCTGTGTGCAACTGTTGGAGCTAAAGACTAGCCGCTTACGTGCACAGTGCTTGGAGGTGGCTGTTTTTTCCCGTGTGGCAACGTGCCAAGCTGCATGGGGAGGTCATCGAAAGCAAGTGGCTTGCGGAGCTCCTGGCTGGGGGAGTGTCCTTAGAGATGCCAGGGGTCCGCCTGTCTGCAGAGGACCCCAGGGACTCCTGCTTGGTCTTGTCCCATTTTTTCACCCAGCATATTGGCTGCAGCCCCAGGAGGGACCTAGAATGCCAGGGGTTTTGTCCATTGGTAGAAGAGGGGCTTGTCCTCCCCCTCTGACCAGGGGCCTGTGACGTGGGTCAGCACTTGCAGGTGTTCTGAGGCTCAGCTGTGCTTCAGAAACTCAAAGGGCCTTTGCATGACCGACTTGGAGTCGGGTGCCTACTGCGGGTCATCCATTCTCCAGACATGTCACTTGTCTCTTGGTGCTCTGACCTGCGGTTTATCCCATAGTCAAGAAAGAGAAGCCAGAGGGTCTGATCTCAGGCCACTTGCCACAGTACTAACTCAGCTGTTCAGACCAGGGGTTTTGTTTCTTTTAAAGGCCTCTCGGCCAGATCAGAGGCCCCAGAGCTTCCCCCCACCCTCCACCCCCCCGCCGACCTCCCCTATCCTTCACGCCTCTGTCTCTTGTGCCAGGGAAGCACTGTGCTACCTTCAGGGTCCCAGCCATGAGAACACTTACCGGGGTTCTGGAATTTGATGTGGTTCAGCTGCTGGCTGGAGGGAGCACCAGTCACAGTGTCGCGTGTCCCTCAGCCAGGCTGTGGCACCATTGTTTTCTACCCTTTGGGCAAGCAGCTGCCTCTCTGAGCTTTTGTGTTGAAGATGGGGACAGAGGCATCACCAGTGAGGGGAGCTCTCTGGTCACTATGTATTCATTTACCCAGTAGTTATGTAAGGAGCACCTGTCTTGAGCCTTGAGACGAGGCCGCGAATGTACCTCCCCAGGGGCTCAGGTCTGGCCCAAGCTCGGCACTGCCTGGAAGTGAGCTGGGTCTGACTCACAAGAGCCTGTGGAGACTCCGTTCCCACACATTGCTCGCCGGGGAGCCTGCAGCATCCTATTCCTTCCAGGTGTCTCCACACCTAATCAAGTGACCCATCGTGGCAGATGGAGGCGAGGCAATGTTGGAGCGCTGGAAAGCTGGGATCATCCTCGCCCACAGGAGATTTTCCTTCTGTTCCTGGCTAAATTCAGAGCTCCCCTTTTATAGACTTCATAGGGACTCCACCTCCTGTCAGCCCAAGCTCTTTTTCCAGTACATAATCCCCATGATGAGATTGACAGTCCCCCAAGTTCATAGTCACACTCCAGCCTCCTCTAGGGGGAAGAGGGAGCACCTTCGGTAGCTCCAAGTGTGGGTTATGTTCTCATCTGCACAATGAAGATCTTTATGCTTAGGCCTTCTTCCTTCCCGGGATGGCCGTTTGCATCTGTCAGGGTTCAGGTTGGAAAACTGAATCCACCCTAGTTGTTCTAAAGCATAAATGCATTTTAATACATGGGAAGAGCTGCTTCTTGGTATTGAAAAGGCTAAAGGAGCAGGTCTTTAAGAATAACTCTAGACATCTCAGCCTTGACCCACCATGGAAGCTGTTACCTCTGCCCCAAGCAGAAGGGCAGGAGGTGGGAGCCCACCATCTGCACTGATCTCTTTGGGTTCAAGGAAACACGACCACAGCTCCTTGCCAGGGAGGAGGGGCCCAGGCTGAGGACATTGCAGCCTCTGCCATGATGCCAGCTGTGTCTGCCACCACCACCACCTACAGCAGCTGAAACTGGCCTCTGAGTGTCTCACTGGGGGAACTTGTTTTTTTCTTTTTAAGATTTTATTTATTTATTTGAGAGAGGGAGAGAGCATGAGAGGGGGGAGGGTCAGAGGGAGAAGCAGGCTTCCCTGGTGAGCAGGGAGCCCGATGCAGAGCTTGATCCTAGGACCCTGAGATCATGACCTGAGCCAAAGGCAGTCGCCCAACCACTGAGCCACCCAGGCGCCCCTCACTGGGGGGAGCTTCCTAATTCATGTTCAGAACCCTTGCCACGAGGGAATTGGGCTGGAGGGAGCTTCCGGTTTCTGCAGGGCAGGCTGGCATGCCCTCCACTGTGGGCGTTAGCCAAGAAGGGGTGGGCAGCAGGCCTTTGAACAACAGTTGGGAGCACTTTCCTGAAATTGATGGCCTGTGATGAGCAAGAGGGAAAGGGTGTGCTCCTGGTGCCAGGGTAGGCAGACAGGTTTACGAGCTCAGAGGGGATTGAAGAGATGGGGTATGAAACTACTGTAGCAAAAATAGTCCTAGTGTAAGTTTGAATAATGAGATGTGGCCTTGTCAAGTTCTCAGTACCTTTTTCCTGGGCCCAGAGAACACGGAATTGGATTGATCTCAGTCCTTGGTGTGCCACTCATGAGCCGCTGCATGTCCTACTTTGTTTAATTACTTAATTGCTCCCAATAATAAACACTGTAAACCCTCCTCCCAGTAAGGCTCTGCCTTTGGCATAGCCTGCATGGCATACAGGATTCTTACTCTTACCCTTGGCCCCATCGGACAAGGAGAGCATATGGAGCTAATCCTGGGCTCCGTGTCCCTAGTGCCCTGTGACACTTGTTGTCTTGCTTGGTCCTTGCCAGCAGTATGGTGAGCTGTGGGCATTGGTGCCTCTGTTCTCCAGAAGAGAAGTTGACAGCTCCCAGAGGGTAAGTAACTTCCCCAGGTCACAAGGCCAGCAGCTCCCAGACTCACTCAGCACCTGGTGGACAAGGGCAGTGTGTCAGCTGCCGGGAGGCAGAGGCGCCTGGGATGGGCCTTACTGGAGAGGAGAGGTGTACAGATCTCCTGTCGGTGCTGGCTGGGGCAAGTCCTCTCCCTGCACCTGTCCAATCCTGGTCCCCTGAGGATTTTGCATTTGAAACAAGGAATGCTTCAATTTTATCATTTTAGATAAGTTTTTTAAAATATAGAGTATATTATGTCATACTGATTGTGTCTTTCTCTTTTGTTTTCCTCCTTTTTAAAAGATTGTTGACGGTGAGTGGTGTCCTCTTTCATTGGGTTTGGATACAGAATGGACGTGGGTGGGGGGGTACAGCGCTGAAGTCCTTGCCAGGCCCATGGGTGTGAGACTGCTGGGTGGGAAGAAGCCTGCAGTCAGTGCTCTGAGCTTGTTGAGGAGACTGCACTGCTAGTGCTGAACTGCGGTCCCATTGGAGTTTGGAGAATGCTCGCCATCTTAGGCTTTAGACGGCCCCCCAGCTCAGACACATGCTCATGGCAGGGGTGGGGCTCCTGGGAAGACCGGAGGGTGGCCTCTGCGTAGCTGGGTGGGGCTGGGTGGTGGTGGCTGTGCCTCTCGGGTCTGGGACTGGCCTTTCCCAGGCTGGAAGGAGGTGGTGAGGTGATAGGGCTGGGGACCCTGCCCTGAGCATGGACTCCCGTCTTAGAGAGGAGGCGGCCAAGGAGGAACGCGAGGCGGCCACGTCAGGACCACGCCGATAGCTGTGTGGTGAGCAGTGATGACGAGGAGCTATCCAGGGACAGAGACGTGTATGTGACCACCCATACCCCCCGAAACACCAGGGAGGAGGCAGCCACGGGACTCAGGTACCAGCACTCCCACCGCCCTGCTGGCCACATGGGACCCCTTGTCCCCCAGAGTAGGGATCCTCTACCCACCCCCTTCCATTTCTCAGGGGTAGGGTACTGGAAATACTGGACCTTTCCACAAGTTCTGTGAGCCCATGGCTTGAGAAGGTCTTGTCAGAGCAGCCGCCCAGCAGGTGGGTGCAGGTGGGCCTGGATTCAGAGCCAGCTCAGCCGTTCCCAGCGGGACAAGACTGTGCCTGCACTGGCAGGGTGGGTGTGACTAGCCCTGGGCGGGTGGCACACACTCCACCACCTGCCATGCAGAGCAGATCCTGTGGCTCTCCGTGATCTGCAGCAGGAATGCTCGGAGGTGCTAGGCACAGCTCCTGGCCCAGACAGGGAGGCAGAGAGCACAGGCTGTGGGTTTGGGAGGACAGGGCACCTCCAGTTGTCTGCACTTCGGTTCCCCTCTTGCCTCCCCGTTGCACCCCCTTGGGGCCGCTGGCCTTTCTCTAAGTTTCCCGGTGCCTATGCTAAGGGGTACGGGCTGCTTCTATGAAGCCACTTAGAGTAATTGAAAGTTGGAGTTTGCTGAGGAATTGACATGAAGCACTGTGATTTTAGGCCCTCTGGTACTGTCAGTTGTCCGATCTGCATGGACGGGTACTCTGAGGTAAGCAACCTTAGCTGTGTCTTCCTTGCTTCTGGTTTCCACATGGCCTCAGTGAAAGAATGAGATGAGAGAGAGGGTCTTCTCTGTCGGTGGGATCTGAAACCTCCCTTCCGCAGTCAGGCCTGGCTGGCCCATGTTTCTTCTTGGGCCCTGCAGCCTTCACCTCTGGCCCCTGTGTTCCTTGGGCTTCCACGTGAAGTGTGTCCGTCCCGTGCGTTCCCCGTTCCAGCCTCAGCAGAAGCTCCTAGTGCTTCCTGTGGCCCCTGGGCCATCCGGCACTGCCCCAGACCTCCATAGGCCTGTGGGTTCAGGCGTCTGGGGTCCCTCCAACCCTCTTGGGCTGCTGCTGCCAGGAGAGTGGCTCTTGCCTCTGCTCGTGGCTTCAGAGACCCCGCTTGCCTGACCCTCGGAGCAGGTAGGTATCCAGTTCTCCAGACCTGCCCAGCCCTTCCTCCCCTGTCTCAGCAGAAGTGAGGTTCTCTGGGGACTGCTCTTGCTCTGGGACCAGGGCAAACATGAAGGCTGTTCCGTCTTATGTTTCCTAGATTGTACAGAATGGACGTCTCATTGTTTCTACAGAATGTGGCCACGTCTTTTGTAGCCAATGCCTCCGTGACTCCCTCAAGAATGCTAACACTTGCCCAACTTGCAGGAAAAAGATCAACCACAAACGATACCACCCCATTTATATATGAAGTGTGGAGAGCTGCTCAGGAGAGGTGGACGAACAGACAGACAGCCTGGCTGGGTTCTCCACACAGCCTTTCATGGGTTCTCTGCCTCAATTTCCTGAGCTCAAAAAGACTATATTTCAAAAACCAACATCTGATATGTAAACTGCTCTTTTGTTTCCAACCCCCTTAGGCCCTTTCGTTACCTCCAGGTTACAGCTGTGGAGCTGGGGCCAGGGCCGCCCAGGCCGGGGACTTCATCTCTCCTCCTCTGGGTGGTCTGGTTCCAGGGTAGGAGAGAGGGAGTTAGGCACATTGGAACTGAGAATCGTGGTTCTAGCCTCTTTCTGGAACCTGCATGTTTGCCAAGAAATTTTTCCCCATTTGGAAAGTTTGCCCCAGCTTCCTCCTGGCAGTGTCGTCAAGGGGCTGGCCCCGGTCAGAGAGCACGCAGGTCCGCCCAGCTCTCCTGGGCGAGCGACATCGACCCAGGCATCTGTCTGCCACAGTGACCAAGCAAAACAGGGTCCATCCGGCCCAAGGATCCCAGGTGTGAGCACGGCCCTGGAAAGACAACCACTGGACTTTCTCCTCCCTCGAGAGTCAGAGGTCACTCGTGATCCCACCTGCACCTTAGCGTTGATGTGCAGGGATTTCTGCAGATCAAGAGAATCTCTACAGGGCAATTCCCAGGTTCCTAAGAACGAAATGTGCAATAAAGCCTGTTCTTTGCCTCCTTTTCAGCAGCCCAGGAGATGTAGCACTCTCAGTGTCCCCTCAGGGGCCTCACGTTGCCTGTGGAGCAGTGCCTGTCCCACCCCGTCCTATTCACCACCTGTTCTCAGGACCTGAACCCATGTCCCAGAGTTTTTCACCTGGCACAGGCCCTGCGAGCTCTAGAGGGCAGATATGTGGTCGGGTACCCTCTCTCTTTTCTGATAAAATGTATCCTGTTTGCCACATGGCCTCTAGCCCTCAGTTCCTACTGCCTGATGTCTACTCAAGCATCAGTCCTGGGAGGTGGTGGCAGTACCTGCGGCCTTAGCAGCCACCCATGTCCACGCTCTTGTCCAAGTCCTGGCTTCCCGGAGTTTCAGAGTTGGGCCCACCTGCCATTAGCGGGGCTCTTTGGCTTTCACCCACACCCCCGCACCACTGACATTCACTTTAGAAGCTGCTCCTCTGGCCTTTCAGGCTTTGATCCTTTGGGCTTTTGACTGCTCCATAGGTTTGGTTGGCAAAGTATGGTTGGCCTCTCCTCCCCAAGGCAGCCAGATAACAAACGCTCTGCTTAACTTTCTGGGTGTGAGCCTCTTGGTCCTCGAGGAGGAACGGGGTGGCCTGAGCTGCCCTTCCCAGCACGGGGCCTGGGGCAGCTAGTGGGGGAGAGGCCTTGCCGTGTCAACTTGCCTCCGCCTCAGCACCCCTCTTTCTCAGAGGGCTTTAAGCCAAACCAACAGCCTCTCCGTGTGAAACATCTTCAAGGTGGAAACGGGGCCTCCTCTGGCTTTGCTAGCAATAACTGACCTTCAGTTTACCCTTCTGAAGGAGCAGGGACTCGGCACAGAATTCACTTTAAACGGGGCTGAAGGAGTGTCCCTCCTCTATGTGAAAAGAAATTTGTTTTATTCTTCATTCTGACTTTTTAACTGTTTGGCTCAGTTCCAGTTAATTTGGATGAAAATAATAATTTTCTACTTGGAGTTGAGGAGGGCAGGACGTCAGTTCTCATCGGCACGATGCTCGGTATGTCTGCCCTCTATTTGGACATCATTGCCATTAAGTTCCTTCTGGGCTTCGTGGAAATTCTTTTGTTATGTTCCAGCAGTACCCAGACTTCAGAAACCCAAGATGACCATGCATCCAAAATCTCCTTTAAGTTTTGTGCTTAAGGACAAATGGTTGATCATAAAGGTGGTATTCCTTCATACTAAATTAAATTGGGAAAAAAAATGTTTAGTTTCTACTATTTAGAAACTGCAAAATAGGAAAACGATAAGAAAAAATCATTTTCCTTTCTTCATTGTACATAGTTCAAATCTTTCTTTGTTACATTTAAACTATATCCATGTACATCAGTCTGTTTCGGACTCCTCTGCTAGTGTTACAGATGGAAATAAAACCATTAATTTGAAACCAGATTTCTTTCGTGCATTCATTTGCTCTCTGGGATGGATTTTCTCCCCTTTTGCCCAAGATGTGTGATTCCTGTCTGCCTCCAGTTTAGCATATTTTGTCAGAGTGTGCAGGAAATCTGCTTGTCTGGCTACTGATCCAGAAACCAGCAGGTGAGAGAGGTCATTCTTGGAGGGGTACCACGAGTCTAGGCCCTGGGATCCTTCAGCAGAATCTTTACCTTGGCCCTAAGTGAGGCTGGTTGTGGGGCTGTCTGACCAGTGCCGGCTCAGGAGAGGGCCTCTGAGCAGCCTGGACTCATATGGACCTGGGATTCTGACAGCGTGGTGCACCCCTGCCTCAGCCACCCAGACGTGGTCGCCTTCCACTCTGGGGCGGGGCGCAGGGGGGCATGGTATGCTGGTCAGTGTCCTGGGTGATCAGTGCCGGGAAAGCTGGAAAGAGGGAGTCGGTTTGGGATTCCCAGGCAGTTGGTGCTGGCAGAGCTTGCCTTCCACCATGCCTGTCGAGTGGCCCCAGAGATGGAAAAGGTGAACGTGCTGGCCGCCTGGAGCGCAGAGGCCCTACCTTCAGTTGGAGACAAGTTAGATCAGAGGGAAATGCAGTTACTCAAACACTGTTTAATTTTCATGCCCTGGTATTGCACTTGGCTCTGGTGGGTGTTGAGAAACCCATGTATATCGCTGCCCTCCTGGGGTGTACATTCCTTGAGGGCAACTGTGTCCCGTGTGTCGTCGTCTCCCCCCGCCCCCGGCCAAGCCAGTGAAAAGTCAAAATGCAAACGTCAGTTACAGGGGTCCTGGGAGAGCAAGAGGGGATGGTAAGCTGCAGTCCTTAAGGTTTGAAAGTACTCTAGGGAAAGAAGAGGTAATTTACATTAACGTCCCTTGATTTTTTTTTCCCCCCAATGTACGACCACCTTGCATTTCTTGGATAAATCCACCTTGTTCATGATGTTTTCTTTCTATATATTACTTTGTTTTGCCAATATTGGGGGAGTTTTTTGAAATCCATGTTTGTATATAGTTACAGTGACCTATGATTTTCTTACTCTTTGCCAGGTTTTGGTTTCACTTAGGCTAGTTCCCTACAAAGAGACTAGAGTTTTCTCTATGTCCTGATTTTGGATTATTACCTTGATTGAAATGGAACTCATAAATAAGATCTCTGAACTGTTGCTTTCATTGAAGAAAGATTTTAAAATACTGATTTGAGGGGCGCCTGGGTGGCTCAGTTGTTGAGTGCCTGCCTTCAGGTCAGGTCATGGTCCGAGGGTCCTGGGATCGAGCCCTGCGTCCAGCTCCCTGCTTGGCTGGAAGCCTGCTTCTCCCTCTCCCACTCCCCTTGCTTATGTTCCCTCTCTCACTATGTCTCTCTCTGTCAAATAAATAAAATCTTTTAAAAAATAATAAATACTGATTTGATATTTTTCAAATGTTTGAGAATACACATTTTTGTCAGTTTTGTTAAGTTGCCAGTTTCTGGGAATTCATTTCATCTCTACAAGATTATGAGCAAAAAATTGTTCATAATCTCTTACAAGCTGATCTCTAGCATCTTTTTATCATTAGTATTTATGCCTTTTTTATTAGAGATTTGTCAGTTTTATGTTCTGTATATGTTAATTCCACATCGAAATCCTTTTTGGGTCTAATTCTGAAGTCTTATTCTTGCTGGCTCTCTCTAATGACTTCTTCCTTTGTGTGTTTTGTGAGCAACTTCCTCCCTTATTTTGAGCCCATGTAACTTGGTACACAATCTGAAAATTCGGGGCGCCTGGGTGGCTCAGTCGTTAAGCGTCTGCCTTCAGCTCAGGTCATGATCACAGGGTCCTGGGATCGAGCCCCGCATCGGGCTCCCAGCTCCGCGGGAAGCCTGCTTCTCCCTCTCTCACTCCCCCTGCTTGTGTTCCCTCTCTCGCTGTCTTTCTCTCTGTCAAATAAATAAATAAAATCTTTAAAAAAAAAAAAACCTGAAAATTCTTTGAGAACTGGAATGAAGGTGGGTGTTCCTCCAGAAAATATTTGCCTTTGCTTTTATGAGGTACTTAAGGTTGTTAACCAACATAAGGCCATTATATTTATCACTTATGCCACAAACATAGCACACAAAAAAAGCACACTTCACTGAATTACCTAAAAAAGTATAGCTCAGTGCACCTGGATGGCTCAGTCTTTAAGCGTCTGCCTTCAGCTCAGGTCATGATCCCGGGGTTCCAGGATCGAGCCCCACATCAGGCTCCATGCTCAGCAGGAAGCCTGCTTCTCCTTCTGCCTGCTGCTGCCCCTGCTTGTGCATTCGCTTGCTCGCTCACTCGCTCTCTGACAAATCTTTAAAAAAAAAAGTATAGCTCAGTGAATTACCATAAGTCAAATGCCCATGAAACAACCAACCATGACAAGAAACAGGATGTTGGTGATGCTTTAGAAGCCCCTACTTGTCCTTCCTCCCAGTCAAAACACTGCCTTCTCTCCCAAGGCAGTCGCTATACTGATTTTTATGGAGATCACTCCTTTGACTATAATTACACTTACCAAAACATGCAACCTTAATCACATAATTTTGTTTTACTTGTTTTTTGAACTTCCAAATGGATGAAAGATAAATGTATTGGGGTTGGGAGCATCTGTTGCTCAGTGTTATATTTGTGAGATTCATTCATGTGTATTTATTAATTTGCTTGCTGTGTAGTATTTCATGAGATGAATATGCTTTAGTTTATCCATTCTTTAAGCCCTTTAAGTATTTTGGCTATTAATAGCCCAGAGTGAACATTCTGTATGTCTTTTTTGGTTTTGCTCCCATACCTGTTGGGCATATACTTAAGTGTGAAATGACTATGTTATAGGATATGAACATTCAGGAAAACTCATAAGTGGAAATTAACACGTTTGAACAAACTGGTGGGTCAAAGAAGAAATCACAAAGGAAATTAGAAAATACTTTGAGAAGAATGAAAATGAAAACAAAACTTAAGGGATCAGTGAAAGCAGTGCTCAGGGAATATTTATAGCTGTAAATACATACATTAAAGCAGAAGATCAAATCAATAGCCTAATTGTATGTCTTAAGGAACTAGGAAAAGAAGAGCAAACTAAACCCAAAGCTGGCAGAAGGAAGGCAATAGTAATATCTTAATAGAAGATTAAGCCAGAGATAAATGAAACGGACGATAGAAAACAAAACAAGGGACACCAGAAGTTGTTTCTTTGAGATCAACAAAATTGACAAGTGTTTAGCTAGACTAAGAAAAAAGATTTAAATTAATAAAATTAACAATGAAAGGATATTACTGAACTTTATAGAGATAGGGAGGATTATAGAAGACTACTAAGAACACCTGTATGCCAACAAATTGAATAACTTAGATGAAGTGGATAAATTCCTAGAAATACAAAGTAACAAAACTGACTCCAAGTAGAAAATAAGAGGAAACCTATGAAAAGTGAAATTGAAGAAGTATTCAAAACACCAACAAAGAAAAGCCCAAGACCAGATGGTTTCACTGGTAAATTCTACCAAACACATAAAAAAGAATACTGCTTTTTGGATTCTTCAAAATTCAAGAGGAGAGCACACTTCCTAACTCATTCTATGAGGTCAGTATCATCCTGATACCAAAGCCACTACAGGAAAAGAAAATTGCAAAGTAATCTCTTGTGAATATAGATGTAAAAAATCTTCCAGATGCCTAACAGACTGAATTTAGCAGCATACTAAAAGCATTACACACCATAACCAAGTGGGTATTTCCCCTGGAATGCAAGAGTGGCTCAACCTATGGAAATCAATGCAATTACTACATTAATAGACTGTAGGAAGGAAAAAGTAACACATCATCACCTCAACTGATGGCAGAAAAAGTTTCCCAGCACCCTTTCATGATAAAAACACTCAACAAACCAGGAACAGAAAAAAAGTACCTCAACATAACGAAGGCCGTATGTGAAAAGCTCGCAGCAAAGATGCTCAATGATAAGACAGAGCTTTTCCTTTAAGATCAGGAACAAGACAAGGATGCTTTATTTCATCACTTCTATCCAGCATAGTACTGGAAGTTCTAGCTAAAGCAGTTAGGCAAGAAAGAAAAGGCATACACATTGGAAATGAACAAGGAAAAGTACCTGCAGATGGCACAACAGAAAACTAAAGAACCCACAATACATATAAACAACTATTAGAGCTTATAAATGAATTCACCAAATTTCAGGATACAAATTCACAAATCAGTGAATACACCGGTCAATTAACAATCTGAAAAGGAAATTAAAACAATTCCATTTTCATAGCATCAAAAGGAATAAAATCCTTACGAATAAATGTAACCAAGTAGGTATAAAATTTGTACACTGAAACGTGGTTGAAAGATACCACTACAAAACCTTGCTGAAAGAAATGAACCTAAGTAGAAAATATTGTATGCTCATGGGTTGGGAGGCTTAATATTGTTAAGATGGCAATACTATCCAAAACAATATACAGAATCAGTGCAATCCCTCTCAAAGCCCAATGGCAATTTTTATAGAAATGGAAAAATCCATCCTAAAATTTGTACGAAATCTCAAGGGACCCAGGATAGCTAAAATAATCTTGAAAAAACAAAGTTGGCCATATATACAATGGAAGATTACTCAGCCATCAGAAAGGATGAATACCCAACTTTTACATCAACATGGATGGGACTGGAGGAGATTATGCTAAGTGAAATAAGTCAAGCAGAGAA